AACAGTTGAGAAGGGTGAACAATTGAGTTGATTTCTGCAAAAACAATAACATTCTGAAAAATGGAGAAACTGAGTTATTTTGGTTTAGGGTTCATTGAAACATTTTTACTATGACTTCATTCTGACTCATTTAACTGGGTGGGTCAAAGAACATTTTCTTGGTAAATGTGCCAGACTGGTTTGATTTATTATTAGTATTATTATTTTTTTAATTTTTGGGGAGTTTGACTAACCCAGTTAAGCTGCAAACTAATAAAACTGAGATTTACTTTTAAGCTTTTAAGTCAATCTTAAAACATCACCCCATACTTGGCATAAAAAGTAAGGACATTTATGTTTGGTATTATTTTTTACAAAAAAAATCTTATATCGTTGGAAAGCCTGTTAATTGCCCTTTTAAATGTTGCCACATTTGTAAGGAACATGAGCAGTAGAGCTGAGTATGTGGGTTGTGCACATGAAAAACTTGCTAAATCCTCTCTGCCAAACAGCGTCCCTTCAAGCCGCAGGCAGCTACTCAACCAATCCAGACTAAAGGAATCGTGTCAGTGTGAAGCTGCTGCTGATCGATCCATGATGGGATGTAAATGGAAACATTTTGTTGAAATTATTGACTGAAATAAAACAACTTTGTCTCTTATGATGGATTGCATCCACTCTGTTTCATTGCTGCTACCTTGACTCTGAACAACGACATTGGCGCAAAGGAAGTTTCACTGATATGAAACGTAAATCTGTCAACCTGTGTTTGATTACTCTGTGGATTTCTCAAAGACAAGGATGTGTGAAAAGATATGCTAAATTTTGAAAATAAAAAGCAATAACCCCCCCCCCACCCCCACCCCCCATTTGTGTTTTTTTAACCTTTTGGAAGTATATAATTCAGTCTGGTATGAATTTAAATATGTACCCAGTGCTTCCAGTACATAACCATTACTTAGGGCTGCAATATGTTTTCCTACTTTATTCATATATTTTTAAGAAGAAGACTTTTTTAATTGAAATTTACATTCTGCCAACAGAAATACGTAGAACTGCATTACAAACTTAAGGTTAAGAAACTTCCCTGCAGTGTTTTGTTTGTTTCTTCAAGTCTCATGTGGCCTTCTAAGCTGCACAGCATTGAAATCTGACAGCTGGTAGTTAAAAAAAACAGAAAGAAAGAAAGACAGAAAACGTGGCAAAGAGAAATAAAAAAAGCTGATTTAATAAATGCATTTTTGTTATTATTGTTAAATTATTTTAAGCATGTTTAAAAGGCATCAATAATATGCTTATCCAATTAAAAACGAGTATTTAAACAATTAAAAGATAAAGCAAAACACCTACTATAGTAAAAAAAAAAAGTACAGCGGGTAAAATTAGGATTGAACACGTCAACATTTTYCTCAGTAAATATATTACTAGAGGTGCTAATGACATGAAATTTTCACCAGATGTTGGTAACAACCCAAGTGATCCATACATACAAAGAAATCAAACCATAAATGTCCAGAAATGAAGTTATTTGTAATAATGTGGAATGGYACAGGGAAAAAGTATTGAACACACTTACTGAAATTTATCTAATACTTTGTACAAAAGCCTTTGTTGTCAATGACAGCTTCAAGACGCCTCCTGTATGGAGAAACTAGTGGCATGCATTGCTCAGGTGTGATTTTGGCCCATTCTTCCACACAAACAGTCTTCAAATCTTGAAGGTTTCGTGGACCTCTTCTAAGAACTCTGATCTTTAGTTCTTTCCATAGATTTTCTGTTGGATTCAGGTCAGGTGATTGGCTGGGCCATTCCAGCAGCTTTAGTTTCTTTCTCTGAAACCAACTGAGAGTTTCCTTGGCTTTGTGTTTGGGCTCATTGTCTTGCTGAAATGTCCAGCCACGTTTCATCTTCATCATCCTGGTAGATGGAAGCAGATTTTTATCAAGAATGTCTCTGTACATTTTTCCACTCATCCTTCCTTCAATTATTTGAAGTTTGCCAGTACCATATGCTGAAAACAGCCCCACACCATGATGTTCCCACCTCCAAACTTCACTGTTGGTATGGTGTTTTTGGGCTGATGTGCAGTGCCRTTTGACCTCCAAACATGATGTGTATTCTGGCATCCAAACAGTTCAATGTTGGTCTCATCTGACCAGACTATATTCTCCCAGTATTACACAGGCTTGTTTAAATGTTGTGCAGCAAACTTTAAAGGAGCTTCAACATGCTGTTTCTTCAGCAGTGGAGTCTTGTGTGGTGAGCATGCATACAGGCCATGGTGGTTCAGTGCATTACTTATTGTTTTCTTTGAAACAAACGTACCTGCTAATTCCAGGTCTTTCTGAAGCTCTCCACAAGTGGTCCTTGGCTCTTGGACAACTCTTCTGATAATTCTTTTCACTCCTCTGTCAGAAATCTTGTGAGGAGCACCTGGTCGTGGTCGGTTTATGGTGAAATAATGTTCTTTCCACTTCTGAATTATGGCCCCAACAGTGCTCACTGGAACCTTCAGAAGTTTAGACATTCTTCTGTAACCGATGCCATCATTATGCTTTGCAACAATAAGGTTGTGAAGGTCTTGAGAGAGCTCTTTACTTTTACCCATCATCAGGTTCTTGTGTGATACCTGGTATCATTTGGGACTGAACCAGCTGATATTAACTTGCACTGACAAGGGGCAGGCTTGCTTTCTAATTACTGAGAGAGTTCAGCTGGTGTCTTGGCTTTCCATGCCTTTTTACATCTCCCTTTCTTTATGTGTTCGATTCTTTTTCCCTGTGCCATTCCACATTATTACAAATAACTTCATTTCTGGACATTTATGGTTTGATTTCTTTGTATGTATGGATCACTTGGGTTGTTACCGACATCTGGTGAAAATTTCATATCGTTAGCTCCTCTAGTAATATATTTACTGAGAAAAATGGTGACGTGTTCAATACTTATTTTACCTGCTGTAATTAGACCAAACACTCATTTGATTCAAGGTTCTTCTAAAATATGAAATCTCAAATTTAATCTTTTTTTTACTTTGAACGTAACCTTTTACTCAGAGCTTCAGACATCACTTTGTATTTTCCTTTCACTCTCTGCTCATTATTCTTACAACTGACGTGTGGATCATGAATGATTTCTGCAGTAAATTCTCTTTTTCTGCACCTTAACTCAATCAAGTCAACAAAACAGCAAAATGTGCTAATGAGCCATTGATTAAAAAAAAAGATCAACTGAAACAGAAAGTCGAGCCCATTTGCTGCAAGAGGATCAGTGATTTATTAAACTACACAGACAGAAGCCAGAAAGTCTTGTTGAACATGAAGCCCTTGTCCTTATTGTTTTGATTTGTTTCCATCCTTTCAATTATCAGCTCTGACA